AGGATGTGACAAAGTGGGTAGGGCAACATTGGGACAACGTGAGAGACAAGGAAATCTTATAACTTATACCAAATCACAATAGAACAATAGAAGAATCGTTGCCGTGTGTTCGCAAGTAAATCATAAATTTTTATAAAATAAATATTTCTTCGCAGGGTCGAATGAAATTGTTTGAAGGGCCAGATCTGAACCGCGAGCCGTAGTTTGGTGACCGCTGATCTAATATAAAAGGATTTTCTAGATTCCTTTTTAAAGAATCCTCCCTTCAGCGATTTTCAGTCTAAGCACGTCGTAGGTAAAGGGTTAACGCCCTATCTACCAGCCTCCTCCTCGCTCGTTCACGGCGGAAGGAAAAAGAAAATCGTCGGTGAATATCCCAATCGTGTGGGAGATTCGTGTGAAATGCGAGAATCGCGCGCGATATCGCCGTGAAAAACGCATTGTTTGATGCGCGGAGCGGGAGGAAAAGCTGGCGCTAGAAAGAAAGCGACCGGAGAAGATGGAGAGGAAAAGGGAAGCGGACGATACAGCGTTAATTACGAGGCTGGTTGAATCGGTAGTCGGCAGGCGTGACAGGAACGACCTGGCTGCCTGTCCAACAATGGAAACTGGGTTAAAAAGTGAAAGGATCGAGAGAGATTGGAGGAGGGAACGACCGTGGCTTCTATTCGGCTTTGCTATTCGCTATTCACGCGACGCGATGTCGGGCCTCGTGGATGCCGCAGGCCACGCCAGCCTTTTCCTATTTCCCTTCTCTCTGCCTTTTCTCCCTTTCTTTTCAACCCTTGTCTCGCAGAGTGGCACAAGTTTGACGCGTGATTTCTACCTTTACACCGCCCAGACACAATTCGTCACTTTGAAAAGCAATCGGAGAAATTGTATCGTTGCGGTTCGATTCCTTTGAAATTGAAAGGATTCGTTGAATGGCATTAATTACAATTATTTTAATTTGTTTCTCTGCCACTCCTCGCCACTTATTTCCTATAACGCAAGGAAAATTTCCTTTCCAGATGGAAAATGCAAGGGAAAGTCAAGGTATTGCTCAAGTTTGACTACAAGCCAGCGGAGAGTGGCGATTCTTCGTTGTTTATCCCCAGCTTTCCCCACTCGTGGCAAGTGTTTTCACCTCTTTAGTCTTTGCGCGGCGTAGTGCCGGTCCAAACATCGCCGAGCGAAGCAACGTCGCGCGCGAACTTCATTCTCTTCGATCGGTGCATTTCGTTTTGCAAAAAAATTATTGTTTCTCGCGCGAAATCATGTCAGGTGTTTCGAGGATCCTTTTGGTTTGTTTCCTCGCGATGATCGCGATGACACACGCGAAACCCACGATTTACAAGAGGAATCAGGATAACGTGTTCGAACCAGGTGAGTCAATATTTCAGGATTTTCATTCGCACCTTTTTAATCGAAGTTTGATTAAACGGATGTTGATTTAGATTTTGTTATAACTTAATTACTGACTTAGCGACAGATTGCGACGAATGGAGCTACTTTGAATCTCCTTTCGATTTCCTCAAACATCGAAAGTCTTAATTTCTCTTTCTCCGATCTCAACGGAGATCGAGGTCTTGGTCGGGCAGGAACATCTCAGACCTACAAAAACTTTCACTTTAATTGTTGCCTCGGCAGATCGATACACTCCACTTCTTTCTCTCCTATTGATATCTTTGTAATACCTCGTTTAATTACTAATCGAACGATGTAGATAGCAACTTGGAACGGCTTAGGTAATCGCTAAGGATTCTTCTAACACGTGAACCTCGATAAACAGGTGTAGCCTATGATCTAACTGCCGATGACTAATTCGTGCAACACCGATGGCACGTTAATTTCTCGAGCCATGTTTGTCCTGTTACTCAGACCGGGCCGAGGATGAATGGAAAGTTGACGGACAAATGTATTTCGTTACGTTACAGAATCCGATTGTTCGATAATTCAGAGTGGAGGACGCGTTTCGTCGTTGACCAAATAAAGAGCGATCTCGAAAAGTCGGAATTTCCTTGAGTTTGACAGGTGAGAATAACGGAACGGTGACGTCAGTTGGCGAACAGCGTGGGCTTCGATTATAACCAGGCCATCAGGATACCATCAAAGTAGATCGCTTATTCTTCTGATCTCTATAAACACGTGTGTCTCCTCCCTTGTTGATCCTTTCTCTCCAGGATACTCTTATCGCCTGGTTCACCATATTTATCAAAACAAAAGTTGTATTTCTGGATTTAATTTTGAAATAGATTCAGAAGCCTTGATTAAATTAACAGGTACAGGAAGCGAGGAAGATCAGAAATATACGTTCGGAATGAGCAGGGCTTGTATTTCGAGAGACGGGTTAAGAAAGCTAATTCCATTGAGTTATTAGGTCGTTAGGCGAATCGAGTTATCGGGCGATTAGTAACTTCGAGTTATTGGATTATTAGTAACATTAAGTTATCGACTCCTTAATAGCCCTGAGATGTTGCTTCGCTATTAACACTTTGAGCACCACGTTACCTATATATGGGTAACGCTTGAATTTCAATAAGAATTCATCACTCATATTATTAAAAATTCTTTGCAAATACTTGTATTAGATACTTGAAATTGTGGATAAAAATATAATGAATTTTCAATGGTTTTAGCGTGGCAGTCAAAGTGTTAATATTAAAATTCCATCAGAGAATTGAAACACTACTAATTTCTGAGTAATTAACGTCTCTATACATCAAAGCTAATTATTATTCCAAGCACACAGTGAAATTATAATATTAATCGATCTCAAGGATAAAATGTAGAAAATAAAAATTTCGAAGCGGCTATTCGTCAGACCATTAGCACGGCAATCTCAATTCCCCTCTCTGCCATTCTAATTTATGCAATAACGTTAAAAAAAGAAATGACAAACTGCCGCAGCAAACACTTTAAAGATGTTGCGTTCGGTTCACGCGAGCCGCCTCGCGCCTTCTAATTTTCCACTTTGCCTCCGCGACCAGACGAAGATTAATAAACCCATTCCCTCCGTTCTCAGAGCCACTTCGTACCTCGACTATGCACCAATGGGATATCTTATCCCGTCGCGAACAGTCGGAAAAGCAAATTTCTAGATCCTCTTTCCTGAGCTCGAACGAATCGTCCTTGACTATCCTTACGCGATTAAAGACGAACGGAAAGGAGATCGAAGGCGATTGCAACAATGTTACGGCAAGTGCAATCGTCACGCGAATCAGCGATTCGAAAGGATATACTCGTGCTGCACTGTGATAGTGGAAACGCAGAGGGACATCTGAAAGATATTCGCGTCGATTGTTGCCCTTTCTACTTTACAAAACACCGTGATTGCTTAACGAAACTTAGCGACGACTTGGAACTTGTTCCGAGTTTGAACAACACGGAAGTTCAACCCCGTAATGGCAGAGTTTGGTCAATCTAAGCTCTTACAATAGGATTTTAATTAAATTTAATATATTTCCTGTATTATTAACTTTCCGTTTATTAAGACACGTAACGATCAGAGACCTATCGATCGGTTTTCTGTCAATAACCGCGGCATCGAGGAGTTTAAAAGGGTATTAATAAGCTTTCAAGGAGGGTACTCTGTTTGTTTGGCAAATACTATAATTGGCTTTGATGTAGAAATATCCGAAACATGTAAATATTCCGTACTCCACAAAACGACTGATACGACTTAAAAAAGAATGAATGAAAAAAAGAATATATTTTGTAATTTTAATATATTCTTTGATCAGTTGCATAAGCTGTTTTGGGACACTCTCTACAATGTTGCATAAAGGAAGACTGGGTGGTATGCTTAATTGGATCGACGAGTCTAAAACTGGTATACCTAAAACCTTCCCTCCTGTTCGATATAAAAAAGAAAAAAAAAAGAAACTAAAATGTGTTCGCCTTGCGTAACGCTAGCTGAAAACCTTTCAAATACCATGTTTATTGTATTCATTTCTGTTTGAAAATGACTAATTTAAATAGAATCTGGTATATAACAGATTCTCAAAACTTTCAGCGTTGACTCGGTAAAGGTACCTGAGAATCACTGCGCATACCAAGCTGTATCGGTTCTGCGACTTGCTAGCTGGTATGATAATTAATCCGCGTAAATACCACTCGATACGGTTCAGTGTGGCATTCCAGCTGACGGAATAGTTGCGCGATCCAAAACCTTCTAATACCTTCACCGTATACGTGCTCTGACCTTTCGATTTTCCGCCGTCAATTCGTGATTCTTCTTTGCTGCATTTCTAACGTTACGTACTCCGCATACAGTTTTTCTAATTTCCAAAGAATTCCACCGATTACACAGGAGTGTAAAATGCTTCCTTTGTTTCAGTGATGGTACCAGTTTCATCCACGGTAATTCCTCTGCCGGTGTACAAAGTGGAATACGGTTTGGGATTCATATCGAAAGACAAGAAGGCCCAGTTGTCGTTCAAGCCAGAGGGTGGACTAAAATTGATAACGAGTAAGCAGAATGGACACCGATCGATTAAGCAGCAATCGTTGACGTTTGTAAATTTTGTTACAGTTAAGAAGAACCAAGAGAAGAAAACGTAAGGTAAATGGTAACGCATGCGAGTTACCAGCTGACCTCTCCTCGAGTCCATCGCGATAAACTTTTTCGTGGCGGGTTTAAAAGTCTATCGTCGACGATGCAATGGAAATTCGTTGGTGTTGTACAGCAACGTGCGATTGTAACTGTAATGTTGCATCTCATGCAGTAACGGAAACTTCACGCCAAAAATTAATTTACCTCTACGATTAATGTTAGTTATATATATATTTTTTTTTTGTAAATTTATTCACAGTTATAACAGATGAACATAAAATCAAAAGTTTTTAAACCAAATCGTAGCAAGTATAAAAACAGAATTTGTTAAGTTTTTGTATTTAACTTGAAATATAACCATCGTTTCTGATATCACGTTCACATGCTCTTGATACTGGGATCCCGGCTGATGAAGTAAAGAATCACGAACACTTAACATAAGGTTGTAACGTGTATAATTTATTTGTAGTTACGATATTTCCATCGCTTCATCCGCTGGAACATGAAATGATTCCATAAAGAAATATGACTAATATAACATAACTTTTATTTGCCGGAGTTACTTACGTATTTCATTGAACAGGAAGTCGTCTTGGTATTCTTTGAGAAACTGCGTTGACCTATTTTCATCGAGAAACAGTGAATAAACACGCTTTACGTCATCTATATTAACCTGAAAAGAAATGTTAACAAGTTACGTGAACTGTTTTCGTGATTGTTCAAGGATACAAGGTAAATTTGATGAAGAAATTACTTCGGTACTTTTTCTTCGTCTACTGACGAGAGAAGCGGTGGTAATTAATTGAATCGCGTATCTTAACGACGTTTCTAAGGCTATTCTAGTAAGAACTGTTAAAGCATCGTCTGCCATTTCGCAATCTTCTTCTTCGCATCTTATCTTCAAGATTTCCTTCAATTCCTTTTCCTGATACGGACTCGTAGGGACAATAATCATACGATCCAACAAGTCTATTGGAATACCATGAGGACTTTTGTAATTTGTTCCCCTGATTCTTGTTATACCTGTAACATCCGGCAATTAATCTTGAGTGAATTAAAATGAAGCAAAGTGAATACCTCTATTTGTAGCCATAATCACGACAGGTGCCATTTCGTTCTCGAGCGCACGGTTTAGGAACGAGAAGCATTCGATATCGAGCATGTGAACCTCGTCGATGAACAAAACACCCGGAACGATTTCCGCTTTTCCTTCTTCCCGCCATTCGGCAACTTTGGCGTTTATTTGATCTCGTACTTCCGATTTAATCTCTCCTGTATCACCAGAGAATAACGCCAGAAATCCGTGAGTCCTACTGTTTATAACGTCGACTTCGTGCAACGTTACTGTGTGTACAACTTCTTTGCGTTTTTGTAACTCTCCCTCGGGACATTGTACAAAACGCGTTTGCGAGCCAGTTGCATCGTAGTCCCGAGCTCTGGTAAAGGATCGACCCAGTCTATTGATTTTTCCTGTGGCTTTGTCGATCGTTATTACGTCACCGGCTTGTACCTGAGGTAAAGAAATATTTTACAAGTAGTTCAACGATACGAACCTAAGGAAAAATCAAAGGAAACATACTTTTTCTTTCATTAAGCTGTCAATCATTTTATTTCCCAGATCATAGATAGTTTCCATTTCTGTTGTTTTCAGCGTTAGTTTACCAACTTTAGCACCAACGCCTGTGGCAGGCCTATCAACTTGAATTTCAACCACTTCACCCTCTATAATTTCTGTCTCTTCCTTGATTCTAACACCGATAGATTTTCTAATGGCTTGAGTCAGAGCTTCAGTTTTACTCATCTCTAAGGAATATATCTCAGAACCTGCCATTGAGGTAAACGGAGTATCTATTCCTAAAGCTTGGGCCATTCCCATAGCAATGGCAGTCTTTCCAGTGCCAGGTTGACCTGCCAACAGTATAGTACGTCCTGCTATCTTACCATCCTTAATCATTTCCAAGACAACACCGGCAGCCCGGCGTGCCATCAGCTGACCAACCATACCCTGTGACACCTAAGAGATCACATTCAATTAATGTAGGAAATAATAGAATGATAACAAGTAATAACAAAATATATTACATGACGGGGTTCTAAGCTATCATCTAACCCTAAGCCTCTAATATGGGAATGTGCTCCAATTCTTTCTATCCTAGTGATTTCACGGACTTCTTGTACTTTTGCAGCTGCAACAGCCTGAAATAAAAACATTAGTATAGTACAATAACATCTTACATTCAGTATGTAATTCACATAGAAATAGATCAAACTCATAGTTGCCATAACAACCTGCCTCATATGCATTGCACAGAGGTGAGAAAAAATTTTACAACATATATTAAGATTATGTTATAGTTTTCATTATAATACATAATTAAATAAAATAACGCACTTAATAAATATTTAGACATTTAAAAATATATATCCACTGCATGTAGGTTAACCGGTAAAAATTTAGAAGTATTTTGTCGACGAACGCGTTACCATCAATTACAGTATTAAAGGCTGTAAATTCTTAAACAATTATAATTTTCAATAAATCATAATCAAATATTTACCGCCATATTTATTGTTTCTCCACGTGTTTTTCTGTAAAAAGTCAATTACGCTAAAATCAACTAAAACAGTGACCAGAGATCCAACAAATGACTTTGTTCAGAGAGCGCCTACCGATATATCGGGGTACCTGACACCCCAGATGCCACACTGCCTCATCCCTTATATCCCTACATTTCTTACGTATCTTTATCCCTTACGTCCATGCATTCTTTTCATCCCTACATTCCTAACATCTTTTCATCCCTACATTTCTTACGTATCTTTATCCCTTACGTCCATGCATTCTTTTCATCCCTACATTCCTAACATCTTTTCATCCCTTACATCTCTGCATTCTTTTCATCCTTACATTCCTTACATCGTTTCATCCCTTATATCCCTATATTTCTTACATATCTTTATTCCTTACATCCCGGCATTCCCTACATCTCTTCATCCCTTAGATCCGTGCATTCTTTTCATCCCTACATTCCTTACATCTCTTCATCCCTTACATCGTTGCATCCCTTACATCTCTGCATTCTTTTCATTCCAACATTCCTTACATCGTTTCATCCCTTATATCCCTACATTCCTTATATATCTTTATCCCTTACATCCCGACATTCCTTACATCTCTGCATCCCTTACATCCCTGCATTCTTCTCATCCCTACATCCCTTACAACCCTGCATCCCTTACATCCCTGCATTCTTTTCATCCCTACATCCCTTACAACCCTGCATCCCTAACATGCCTGTATCCTTTACATCCTTGTATCTCTTATATTTCGGCATTCCATACATCCCAGTACCTCCCTGAAATTGAGGCGATTTTTGCGGCTATAAGGCCTGCGATTTTATACAAATTTAGTTCCTTCTTTCGTCACCAGAGGGCGCTGATTCAACATCGAAATTTTAGTTTACATTTTTGCCGCCAGAGGGCCAAAAACTGAGCATGATTTAGTTCCTTTTTTCAAAATCAGATGGCGCTGATTCGATATCGAAATTTTAGTTCACTTTTTTGCCGCTAGGGGCGCTGTTTTTTCGAAATTTTCGCATTATTCTCGAAAACATAGCGTCCCTAGCGGCAAAAACTTACCTTTACTTACCTTTACTCGACGCAGTCTAGATAACATATTTATTATAAGGGATGCAGAGATGTAAGGAATGTAGGGATGAAAGGAATGTAGGGATGAAAGGAATGTAGGGATGTAAGGGATGAAGCGATGTAAGGAATGTAGAGATATAAGGGATGAAGAGATGTAAGGAATGTAGGGATGAAAAGAATGTATGGATGAAAGGAATGTAGGGATGTAAGGGATGCAGAGATGTAACGGAACGAGGGATTTAAAGGAATTCCGTAGGGGTCCGGGGCTGGGGCCCTGGTCTCCACTGCACGCGGCCCAACGAGTGCCGGAATCAGGTGTGGCCCCTGATGTCGGCGGAGTTTGGCACATGGCGATGGGTCGAAGTACCCTCCTTACCGCCCTTGTGCAGGCCGCCGTGGTGGTTTTAGTGGGTAATAATCCCACACTACCTCCGACCCCTCCCCAGGGGGGTTGAAGGTGTCTTTTTGAAAATTTCCACCACGTTAAAAAAAAAAAAAAAAAAAACAAACGGTATTTAAGGAATGCTGGGATGGAAGGAATGCAGGGATGTAAGGGATACTGAGATGGCCTTGGCCTATAATGAGGGATAAAATTATATAAATAACTGGAAAAAGTAAAATAAATGGGGTCCGCGGCTGAGACCGAGAAGAGAGATATAATACTAAATGTTACTCCCCTTCGATGAGCTTATTTAATAAGCAAAAAAAAATAAATGACGTAAATTAAATAAACTCTGGAAAAAAATTATACTGGTTGTGCCCTTTTTATACGGACCTGATATTATCAAGGGGTGTTAGGGACCCCACTGCGCCACTGACGCCCTCTGCCTGCCGACCTAATATCATATTGGGGTATTAAGGACCCCTACGCCGGTAACTATCTTTGCATACCAATAATATAGCATCCGGGGTGCCAGGGACCCCGTAGCACCAGTTACTATCTCTGCAACCGGCATGATATCATCTTGGGGTGTCAGGAACCCCGAAGCACCGGTGACATTGTTTGCATACCAACAGTTTGACATGCGGGGTATCAGGGACCCCGAAGCACCGGTGACACTCTTTGCTTAGCGACACTATGGCATTCGGGGTATCTGAGACCCCGAGGTACCAGTAATGCATACCAATATTATGCCATCGGGGTGTCAGGGACCCCGAAGCAACTAGCGAAATATAAGAACGAAAAACGAACAAATCTTGAAACTCACTTGTTCGGGATAGTGATGGGTTTGACCGGATCTAGCGAAATATAAGAACGAGAAACGAACAAATCTTGAAACTCACTTGTTCGGGATAGCGATGGGTTTGACCGGATTTAGCGAAATATAAGAACGAAAAATGAACAAATCTTAAAACTCACTTGTTCGAGGTAGTAATGGATACGACCGGATCTGTAGCGCATGCGCACTACAATTATTTATTATAAAACAAACTTATAAATAATTAAGAAATTATTCATTCACAAACAATGATAATGATATATTTGTAAATTACAAACGATTTCCAATCAATTACAGTTATCAGTTATCATAAAATCTGTTTATTATAAACAATTACTAAAAAGTTTCGGCTCACATCATGATTGAAATAAAATTGCTAATTACTAAAGAACTAATTTGTCACAAACATTAAAAATAGACTCACAATCAATCACAAACGAAATACACTAAGAGAAATTAAAAATAATCACATTTTATTATTCCTTCCGGGTAGCTTCATGTATGTAGGTCTGCTGGTATGCAGTGTCACTGGTACTACGGGGTCTCTGACACCCCAGATGATATCAGGTCGGTATGCAGAGCGCGCGCACCGATGCTTCGGGGTCCCTGACACCCCAGATGCCACACTGCCGGTATGCAGTGTTACTTGTACTTCGGGGTCTCTGGCACCCCGATGATATCAGGTCGGTATCCAGAGGGCGCCACCGATGAATATGGGTCTCTGACACCCCGGATGCCACAATGTCGGTATGCAGAGGGTAGCCGGTACTTCGGGGTTCCTAACACCCCAAGACTAAATTTTGCCTTAAATGTAAGATAAATTAAATATAAAATAAATGTAAATAGATCCCTGAAATATCATTTATAACAAATTTTGCGTGATTTACATTACATTTGATTTATATTAGTAGACGAACAAATAAAAATTATAATTGTATAATTGTAACTACTATTTAAATAATTCGAATTCTCCTTCAGAAATTTATCCCAAAATATGATAATTGTAGGGCAATTTGTATACATGTTCTTTATTGCCAAAGTAAACTCTATTAGCAACTGTGTTGGAATGTACTTTACTTCTTTTTGTATATATTTCGGTGGTACATACGTAAGTACCCGCGTCATCGGAAGGAAAGGACTGATCGTAAGCCAAAATGATTTCATAGCCGCTCAAACTTTCAGATATCTCGTGCCATCTGTGGTTGCGACAGAAATACAAGCAATGTGTTTATCAGTGAATCGTCGAAGATTCATCGTCGGATTCAAAGTATGTCGAGAAGCCGACTCGAGCCTCGTTGAGCCCTTGTGACCTTTCGTAGTTTGTGGTGACCTTCACGCGAGGTTGACTGTGGAGCTGCTCGTACATCCATCTACTTCTCCTCTTCGTCTTTTCCCTTTTCTATTGTGAAACATTATTACAAGGAGAAGTAAGTAAACTTTTCATCTGTCCGTTCATACCTCGTCTTCGACAAGTGTCATGGAAGATCTCTTTCACTGTGCGCTTCAATGGAGCCGGCATACAGCTATAAAATACCATGCGCTGTCATTGACCTCCGATAAACTCATTGAACACTCAACGTGCTTCTTTTGACAATGATATTTCGTCAATGAACTTGTACTAAAAAATTTAACACGCGGCAATTGAAATTCTCCCGCACTGATCTTCATCTTGAAATAAAAGAATTTGAAAAATCGTCTCAAAATTAAATTTTTAATTTACATGTTTATTCAACAAAATAAAAATATTTTAAAAATTTGAAGCATACATTTAAAAATTCATTGAATAATTTAAAAAATAATTTTATTAAAAAAACAATATTATATATACTTCAATTTCTCTCAAATACTATATTGCATCAGTGTAAACATTCATTGATTTAAATTTATTATGTAAATATAGACCTTAAGAGCCAGCAAAATGTCAAGGGAACGTGTATCTAGAAGATTTTACCGTACGTACAGTAGTAATGATTTACATGAATTTATGGATCGTGGATACAGTGCCCAACATGAAAATAGATGGAATTTTGAAGTTGCATGGGAAGCTGCCAACAAAGGTATACAAAATTTAACAATTCACAATAGGACTTCAAATTTATTATAATTATTTTTAAATATTTTATTTTTAGTTGGGGGTATATACACGGTAATAAGGTCCAAAGCTTTTGTTTCAACTGAGGAAATGGGAGATCAGTATTGTCTTATTGGTCCATACAAAGAAACTTCAGCTAGAACTGAAGTTGAGGAAGCAGACTTTCCAAATAACAATCCCTTGCACTTAGCTGTTCAAGTTTTACGTGATCAAGGATTTAAAGTAGGTTTAAATAAAGGGTGAAAAAAGGGTAGCAGAAGGAAGTACATAATAAAAAGTCAAAATCTTATACTTCTAATGCTAAAGTAGTTTATTCTGTGCCAAGAATAATGATTTGGCTGTAGTCCAGATACAAGGCCAGAATTAATTCAAGGGTAATGGTCCTATATGTGAATTATGTAGTTATGTGCTTCATTCTGTTTTCTACAAAATCTTTAAAATGTTAAGAATGGCTAAGATTTATTTCATAAAATAAGAACTCTTATTGAGGTGGTAACAGGAACATGGCTGGTTGATGGAAATCCACAAATAATTCTCTTTGATATTGGAAGTGCAGCATGGAAGCTGGATGAATACAAGCAGGAATTATGGAACACATGTAATCTTGGTATTCCTCACCTCGATATAGAAGCGAATGATGCCGTTATTCTCGGTTATCTCGTTTGCCAATTTATCACTGAATTTAGGTAAACTTTATATTAGACGAAATCTAACATTTATTTCTATGCCCTGTTACACTGAAAACGATTTTTTCCGTTCTAGAAAAGCTGCAGAGGGATACTCAGATGTTCCACCACGTGTAGTAGTACATTGTCACGAATGGCAAGCGGGTGTCGGTTTAATTGCATTAAGAACTAGACACGTGGATGTAGCTACGGTTTTCACTACGCACGCTACGCTTCTTGGTAGATATCTTTGCGCGGGAAAGACTGACTTTTATAATAATTTAGATAAGGTATACTCCACGATCGCTAAGTGCATCGAAAAGATAATAGAATTGGTATCTCATCTCGATTTCTTTCTAGTTTAATGTCGATGAAGAGGCAGGAAAGCGACAAATTTATCACAGATATTGTATGGAACGTGCAGCTACGCACTTAGCGCACATATTTACGACTGTTTCGGACATAACAGGTTTCGAGGCCGAACACTTGTTGAAACGGAAACCAGATATAATTACGCCAAATGGTTTGAACGTGAAGAAATTCGCGGCAATACACGAATTTCAAAACTTACATGCTGTTAGTAAAGAAAAAATACACGAATTTGTTAGAGGACACTTCTATGGGTATGTATCGCCAATAAGACTTTAATTAAGTGTTCTTTCTTCGTATTAAACTTAACACTTGTATATCGTTTCAGTCATTATGATTTTGACCTGGATAAAACTTTATACTTTTTTATTGCTGGACGTTATGAATTTGGAAACAAAGGAGCCGATATATTTATCGAAGCTTTAGCCCGATTAAATCATTACTTAAAATCATCTAAACCTGATACCACTGTAGTGGCTTTTCTTATTTTCCCAGCGCGCACCAATAATTTTAACGTAGAATCGTTACGAGGTCATGCTGTAAGTTAACAAATCCCTTCTATTTGAATAAGAAATGATTATTCATAAGTAATTTAATTTTCCCATTGAAGGTTACCAAATCATTGAGAGACACGATTAACGACATACAACAAAAGATAGGAAAACGTATGTACGAGTTGTGTCTTTCTGGTCGCATGCCTGATGCTCAAGATCTTTTACAAAAAGAAGACACTATCAAAATTAAACGGTAGTACTCGATTTCAAATCAACGTGATCATAAATTGTAGCCAAAGCATAAAGAATTTTAATTATAGCTTTGTGTTGTAGGTGTTTGTATGCTCTACAGAGAAACGGACTACCCCCAATTACTACGCACAATGTGATCGATGACTGGAATGACCCAGTTTTAAATTCTATCAGAAGATGCAATCTTTTTAATACAGTTAATGAACGAGTTAAGGTAATGTCAACATACACGTTTTTACATCACGTATAATAATTACAATCAATATCAATTACCGTTTCACGTTGTAGATAGTATTTCATCCAGAATTTTTATCATCAACAAATCCGTTATTTGGTCTCGACTATGAAGAATTTGTAAGAGGGTGTCACTTGGGAGTCTTCCCCTCGTATTACGAACCCTGGGGCTACACTCCAGCGGAATGTACAGTTATGGGTATTCCCAGTATAACTACGAATCTATCTGGTTTTGGATGCTTTATGGAGGAACATATAGCCGATCCAATGAGTTACGGTATTTACATCGTGGATAGAAGATTCATTGGTCTGGAGAATAGCGTTCAACAACTTGCTCATTACATGTTCGACTTTGCACGACTCAGTCGCCGGCAGCGTATCATTCAAAGAAATCGTACGGAACGTCTTAGCGATCTTCTTGATTGGAGAAACCTTGGCATCGTTAGTTCAATCTCTATTCTTATTTTTTTTTGTATTATTTTCTAATTGGATTAGTTTTAATTTAAAGATTATTTTCAGTATTACCGTCAAGCCAGAATCCGAGCTTTGATAGCCGTGTATCCGGAATTAACTTCTGAGTACGCTGAAGGTGGAGTAGGTCGTTTCAGTTATCCCAGACCTATCAGCGAGCCGCCATCACCCACTTCTTCCAGATACACTACTCCGACTGCTTCGGTTCACGGTTCTGATGACGAAGACGAAGACGAAGTTGACGAAGAGAAAGAGGTTTTTAACATTATCTATTGCTTTGAAATAAATTTCATAATTTTCATTCTGTTTTGAATATTAAACTATTATATTTTCCCGTTACAGCTGGCGGAATTGCGTCAAACAAATAGCAGATAAATGTTAAAATGATGAAAAACTTAGCATGGTAAACGATAACTCACATTAGATGAAGACGTGGAGACTTTGCAATAATAGTGCCAACAATTTGATCAGTATGGTCAGATCCTCCATGAAAATTTAATTTGTAAGCTACTCATTGTATTTCATTCTTGCCGTTGCTCGTCATACTATCCTTTTGTTACTTCTATAACGACAGATTTGCGAAAAATTCAATCACAACAAAATAACGGTATGTACAACCAATATTTACACCCGACATTCAAAATCGTTACAAGTAAGTCTTCCACGAATCATGCACCCCGCGTTTTGAATTAGTAATATTGTTGTATTTTGAGAACTATATTTGATGTTATATATATGCGTATATTTACCCAGTGTTCCTATTATATGTAGAGGCAGCTATATCTTTATGACAATTAGCGCGCGAAGAAAAGCTACTCATGATTTTCAATTCTCGAAACACCATGATGATCTACCACTCCTTTGTGATTCCTATGGGTTGATCTTCTTGTTTTCTGAAAATGAAACTTTCGAATATACATTTTTAATCGCTTTCGACATTTCGTTGCGTCAAGGATTTTAAATTGTAAATTTCGAACGCCCTCAATAATTATCGGCGACTTAATCAGTTTGTAAGAATTATTATATTATTAATTATTAACGTAATATACAAAACAAAGTGCTAAAAAGTTACATTCTCTTTTGCGGCGAAATCATTACATTTGGCATTTCACGATTACCAAAACTGTCTTGTCTTCTGCAAAAAATTGTTCAAATAAATATGTACATGATTCAGAAACGAACAACATACTACATAACAATACGCCTTAATAATAACAAGTACAACAATATACAAAGCCACTAAATCAACATTTTTTTTTTTTTTGCGATCAAGTTAAAAGTATTTCAATGTCTTTGATGGTTATTACACATGAGAGAGAGAGAGATAAAGAGATAGTGAAATTTTGGAATGGTTCATTACCACGTGAAGCTAGGTAAAGACGAGGAGATGCATATGAGATGAGATTCGACATTCGTTCCACCTTTTTACGTACGCCTTCACGGTTAACAACGACGATGTATCATTACAAAAATCCTGACATCTAATACAAAACGTTCGAATTTCTAAAATACACGATGATGATATATTAAACGCGATCGACACCTTCACCGTCGAAACCAAGCGTAGGCTTCGATTTTCTAAAACGATCAGGTTCAGCGGCATAGCCATCGTTAGTTTCTGTAACACTAGAAGCGATAACCGATACCTTTTTGATTTTGTAAACGAATCTATGCGACTAAGATTGCTTCGATCTTACTTATCGTCCTGATCGTCGGAAAGAAAAAATAAGCGGCAAAGGTGTCGATCCGTATCATGCAGGAATAAGGTCACCTCCATAAAAAAAAAATTATTTCTCGCGCCAAAAAAGAATATACGATCAGGGAGAACAACGGAACACAAACGTACTTTCAATTAAAAAGAAAAACGAAGAAGAGAAAGAAATTCTGTAAAGCAATACTGAATTACAGTTAGTCATAAGATTGTTTTTAACCTAGTTGTCTTATAAATTATATAACCAATAAGAGACAGTTTAGATTCGCGTAAAGGATACTAAAGATATGTTACACGTGTATCAACAAGAATTAATTCGTACGCCTAGGAAAGCAGTATACGTAAACGATGCTGGTTAAACCTAAATGGCACGTTTTATACAATTACATACAGAATCTGAGAACTTTACACAACAAAGGACAATGGAGAAAGTAACTACGATTTATATAAAAAAAAAAAGAACCGACAAACGAAATCACGTGTGTTTGTAATAAAATCGTTACTAATACGTGTTCTCGTAATACTTTGATTCCTCGATACAATTCCTTCCTTTGAAACCTAAGTAAAGCCTGTTTTATTTTTTCTTGCTCTTCGAGTCGAGCCGCAACGTTTCAACGAAAGTTTTCTTTGCGACTCTTTGGAACTTTTTGCCATTCGCCTCGCTCGACGGTATTCACGTGTAAAAATATTTGTAATTTCTATGAGAAAATATGCAGTCGCTAAATGTAGTAGTTTTCATGTCAAATTAATTTCGCTACTCCTAACGCGCGTGTCTTCTGCGAACGAGAAAGTTGGTAGGAGAATAATGAACAATCGCTTATTTCATTCAACATTTGAAAATAGAAAATCGCGTTTCGGATTTTTCAACAAACGCGAATCGGACAAGGGGTCTACAAAGCCCGCCTTTTCTTCTTTTTTTTTCAATTAAACTAAACTAATTGCAAGGTAATTTCTTTTCATACCGGCAAGTTTACACATCGCTTACTGCATACTTCGGTTTTTCGTTTTAATTATGATGTTTCGTCGAAGCTTTGAAACGTCAGGGAAGGAAGAGAGGTTCCATTTTTAGACCGTAGGCAGAGACAACCTTTGGTTACACAACAAGAAGACTAATATTATGATATAATATCCCGCAAATAGTCGATAAATATATATATAATATATATTTGCCTGGAAACTAGTCTAAGAGTCTTTAGTTAATTGGCATTTCAGGGCGTATGGCCTCAAGATACGAGTGAGTTTCACGCAGTCAATCTTTCGTTTCCCTTACTTTTCTGCTTTCGCTTCAATGGGAGAGGAAAAGTTTCGAAACGGAGGGTTCAAGGTACCCGCTCCTGTCTCTAATTAGCCCGTTCGAACTTCCGCGAATCTCGTGGACCTGTTTGCACGAAATTGCCGGTAAATATTCTACTAACTTTGGCTACAAACACCGTCCAGTACACGATGTAACGATACACGATCATTCATCGAACAACTTTGACTTCTAACGTTTTCAGAAATTTTTCAAAACGCTTCACGATTGGATCAAGAAGAAGAAGGAATTGGATCAATTCCTTCCTTTGGCTCGCAAACAGCTACGCGTTCAACAACAAAAAAAAAAAGAAAAAAAAATGAAAAAAGATCTATATTCGAGTTAGAACACGTGCTGTTTACATCTTTACGCTCGATCCTGCTTAATCGTGAAGTTACGTATCCAAATTCAGAAACATCGAGAGACCATAACGGAGGAGCACGCGTGTCTCGATGCATTCTTCTTCAGGGGCAGGTATACAAAGACCGAGAGGCTGTACACGTTGGTACATACGATAAGTAACTGTGCACCGCGGCTGGATGTCCTGATGGTTCTCCCCTTGGAGAAAACTCGTGTAAGGTGGACGGATTTTTACGTATGGCTCGATTGCGTTCCTCCCATTATTTGCTGCATCATGCTTAAAAGCATCTCAGAGTATTGCTGCATCATATTGACAACTTTTCCTTGATCTTGACCGGCGAGTAGTTCCTGGAACTTGGCAGTCGCTTCGTTCATCGATACGTTGTCCCCGCTGGCCGAACCGTCGTTGTGATTATCGCCACCGGAGGAGACAACCAGTCGCAGGGTACGCATCGTTTCGTTTACCGACGATTCAAGGCCTCTTAGCATCGTGTCCCTGTCGATGGTACCTCTAGACGGATCGTCTTCGTTATCTATCGTTAAACGCTTGTACAACTGCACAACATTGTCCGCCGTTCGCGTCAGTTCGTCCGCGATTGTGTTGCACAGTTGCGTGGACACTGCAAGAGGGAGATTTACGTTAAAATCGATGACAAACTGACGAAAGTGTGTTTCTATGGTTAACGTGTTTCTTAATGGAAAGAGGAATATTCTTGAATCGGTTACGAATAGAAGCGGATGTTCCATAGGTTGAATGAAGATAAGAATTGTTAAATATGTAACATTCGCTTCGATGCGGAGGGAAAGGGACGAGTGAAATCGTGCAGCGTGCAGGTTACATCGATTCTAAAATCCGTAATGAGATCATGCTATTGTGAAACCTATACTTGGGTTAGTATTCTAACGATGATAGAACTAATTATTTCGTGGTCTATGAAGATGATCTAAGTAAGAGCAATTTCATGACTGGCGTAACACGAATCTTTCAATCAATTTATGTACATTATTTACAAATTTATCCATCAATTTGTGAATCTATCGAATGAATTCGGAAATGAATACTCTCCTTTGATTAATGTAACGTACAAAGCAGACGAAACATTGAAAATAAATAAATACATTTGAACGGTTCAATGTTCGATGAAAATTCTGAACGTAAACGTGTAGCATGTTATGTACAGCGATCTACAGACTGGGTACTAGTCTGTTCTAAATTCCGTAACGATTCTGTGTCTGAATGTTTGTTCGCTTTGTCATAGCATGATCACTTACAAATTTTTTTTAATACACTGAAAGTTTTATTATTTTCACAGGACAGCATTCTCAATAGGTGTCTTTAGTTTACCTAATGTTTTATCCGTGCCTACTGCAAGAGTAAAATCTTCATTAGATTTTAATGTCTTACAACGCTGATTGGATATTCAAACGAAAAATAACGTCAATCAATATATTCCTGTTCTAACAGTAATTTGTTATTGTAAGTATGTATCTCTTGCAATCTTGCATGCTTACACTTTGAAAACGGCAAGATGATTATGAATTGTGATAAAGAACATGAAAAAAAAGAGAGAAACAAAAGGGATGATTACATTCAGCACTTGCTACATCGATGGCACGATCGGTATCTTTAACCGGAAGCTCTTGGGGGCTAGGATCTAACTGATTCCTATTTGCTGTTGACATTCTGCTCGCATTTTGTCCTATCGTGCTATTTCCGCTTCGACAGTTTGTTATAATTGTCGTTGATCCCGATCTCCTCACGGTCGTGCCAGGTAGACTTAAGCTGCTGCGATAGTATAAGTAAATAATAAATTAAAAAGCTTATATCCCACAATACTTTAGTGTGTTACGAAGAAAGTGTAATGTACTTTGTAGCAGAATGATCGATACTGATGCTTCGAGGTCTCGGGGGAAGCGCCGGTTTTCCACCGTTTCCGTTGGAGGACGTATCCTCTGAACTGGAGTCTTCCTGGTTACCCACTTGACTTAGATTTACTAAGAAATTGTAGGAGGGTTAATCGAAAGGAAAAGAAATTGTTTAGAAAGCAAATCATTGGTATTTTTTAATTATAAGTTTACCACTCGAATATGCTCCCTGCATGCCTCTCCTCCTGAGAACCGACGGCAAATTGCTATTGGAAGAAGAACTCGATTTTATTTGATGATTTATTTTATTTTGCGAACTAATCGTTGGTCTCATCAACCCGCTCATCCTGTTATTTCCTGTCTGATTGTTCCATCCCCTTCCGTTTCCTGGTCCAACGTCCGATTCCGAATCGCTCTATAATATATACCATCGTTGAGAATGAAAAAGTACAAACTATATAGAGTAATAATTATTAAAGAACGTACTTGATTTAAAACTCCAACGCTACTGCTTCTTGTCATGTGAGAAGAATGGTTCTTCGTCGAAGCGTGTCGAGACGGATTCCCGCTATTCGCGTTTCCTAGCCCACTTCTCGTCGCGGTGTTTACATTCTTATTACCTACTTTTCCTGAAACTATTATGAATTATTAGAAAAAAATCAGTTTACCTAAAACATTATCTACGTTTACGAGCAAATACGTATAAATTTCGGTCTATATTTGTATATGCAACATTGAAAAGAGAAAAATAATAGTATTCGATATCTTGAATCAAACAGTAATATCAGTAATTAACTTTTGAGCAGCGGCGACTCGCGTATAGGCACTGTGGAACTGCAGCACCCCCTATTTCCACTTAATGTTATCGATAACATTTAACATAATAAGTCCCTTTTTCTTTAATTCTTTCTTTATACTTGTAAATGTCAGTAGCCATCCCCCACTTTATGAAAAAGATACAAAAATCTTTGTTTGGAACTCTGCGCTTCACAGTTCCAGTGGCATGGTGTTTGACTGTTGTGCGCATGCGCACATAGGAAGCTGCGCGCAAAGCTGCGTACTGACGCTCCCGCAATGCCGGCTTTTAAAACAAAGGCTAACAATTTTCTGGAGCAGCACTCCCACTAATTTTAGCGACAAGCCACCACTGCTTTTGAGTTATTAAAATGTCATCAAAATATCGAAAAATCGATTGATTTTAATAAAAGATAACTATGCTATACGGGGGTCGTTCCAAAATTAATTTCTAAAAGACCGCACGCACTCGTCGTGACTGTGACAACTAGTAGAGGGCAGATTTGAACTTGTAAATGTACAAAAATATGGCGGCGGCAATGAACTATTCGAACGACCGGAATAGAAAAGTTTGTTTCTTGATTTAATCTTTCAGTTTCTATATTGGAAAGACCCTCAAAGACATGGGACACAATGAAAGGGTACCTTGTATTGGACCATGCAGTAACCTATTTGGCGGGCTGATGGAAAGATCACTCAGCGAACAGGCACGTCGCATGCCACCCCCCTCTTCTTCGCTGTCAAAAACTTTTGACGAGATTCGCCCCCCACTACTGCCAACTGTCGACAACAACACGCACACACATGCACTAAGCTACTATTTTACCATAATTTTTAGTGTATTTTGTATTTTCGTGTACTTGTGATCTTTCTTTTTTTCTCGAGAAAACTTACCTTCGATTCGTTTTCTTTTTCTTGAATTAATATAGATAGACCTATCTTTAAAATTTCAAACGATTTAAGTATTTGTAGAAGTTTCGAACAGTGTACTTGTATGTAAATAGTGTATCACCGATTTGAACGGATAGAAAAACGAATATAGGCTGTTTTCTCTCATGCATATTGCAAAAGCAATATATGCGAAATCATGAATTACCGTATGGCAGATTTCTATAGTTAACAAATGGTAAGATTCGTGTTTGATTACGCACAGTGACTCGCATATTTATTCGCACACTTTTCAATTCTAAGAGAGTTGGTAAGTGAAAGTTTTGAAAATTCGCTCGTCAGTATCTTGTGGCTCCATCTTTTGAAAGCTTCAGCTAAAACTATGTTTATGAAATTCTCAAAAATTTTAGCATGTCTGTTTTTTATACAAAATAAATGTTAATCTCGTGTGAGAAAATATGTAAGCCACTATAATTCAAATGCAACGAGACATAGCTAGTGATGAACATTCTTAAATAATTCAAATTACAAATATCTTTGAAACTTTCTATGTTACCATCCATCACTAGTTGCATCTTTATTAATAATTAAAAATAAAATAAAGAGTAACTGTAAAGTTGAAACAAAATGGGATATAAAACGTTTCACAATAGAATGAGGAAGCAGGATAGAACTACATGATAAGGACAAAACATGCTGTCGATCGCGGATCATGCTAAACCAAAAATAAAAAAAATAAAAGAATATTCATAAAACCGTGTTTATGAATATAAAAGGCGTTCAAACTGAAAAGTACATGATTGCTGCCGTCTTGAAATGAAATAAACGTATCGGGCCAATGAAATGTACAATAATAACTTGCTGATAACTGTACAGAATAAAAACAGTCACATTGAGAGTACAAAGAAAGAATATAGTGTATACTTTGTCAACATCCACTACGTAACGAACAGAAGATAAGATCTGGACGACACTTCTTCCTTTAGCCCTCAAGTACCTGCGTAAGGATGCTTTGATGGTAGTATAGCCTGATTAATGGTTGGCAAGGTTTTAGTCCACCTCATGTGGCTTTGGCAACGCGAGGCTGGCGGCCACATTCTCTTTGGCGAGTTGGTGCAGCTCGAAGCGGACGTCGAAGAACCGCTTTCCATCATCGACTTGTCTATCGCGGAGGTGTCCGCGAAATCGCTGTCTTCGCCGCCGGAAAGGAACCTTATATCTCGTTTCATCGAACAGAATCTACCGTCCCTCTCAGCCTCGAGTTTCGCAAAATTCTCGTTCGAGTCTTGAGTCATACGCAGACACTTTTCCTTCATAAAGTACTGTTCTCTTCTAACCAAGTTCTCAAACTCCTTGGACAGCAGTTTAACAGTTCCCTCGATGGCTCTAGTGATCCTGAGATCCACGCTAGCATCGAGGTTGTCGATTCGCTCGTTCGTGGACAACAGATTCGAGGATGGGTTCTGTAACTCGCAGGAGGTACCACCAGGTTCCAGAGAATCATAGGTCTCCTGGGTATCCTTCGTTGGAATTTGAGCCTCGAAACAGCAAGTCTGACGAGATGAATCGTTCTGATCGTATGTGAAACTCTCCATTGGTCTAGCAGCCTCGTATACGCCAACTTTATCCGAGGAACGACGATTCTGCAGGCTGTAGAACTTTGTTGCAGTGTTATCTTTGTCTTCGTTGGACTGCAAGGAATAACCAGACGACTGCAATAGCTGCTCGATACTCTTTGAACCGTGAAAAGACTCGGTACTTTCCGATTTCACGTCCGCGCTCGGTGTTCGAGCCTCTGACTTGTTTGCAAAATCGTTACAGTCGGACTTCACGCGAGACGTGTCCACCGCGAACTTGTTCCACGCTGGACGAGCTCTGTTACGCATACTCTGCGTTCGAGCAGAGTTTCGCTTCGGTTTCGGTGGTTTATGAGCCACGAAGTCGTTTAGTATCAGCATCGATTGCGGTTCTTTGCTCACCTTTAGACTATTGCTCCGCGGCATAGTGTCTGACTTGCTTCCAATTCTCATCTCGACGTTCCCATCGTTGTCATCGTTGAAATTGAACTCGTAGTAAATGCAGGTCGTTGGTCGAACGTTGTCATCCTCCGTATAACTGTTCTCGTTTCTCACTTTGCTTATTCTAGTATCCTGAAGGGACTTCGACCTGAACACCGCCCTGCAGGAAGTCGAGTCGTTCGCAGAATTCTGTACATTGGTCGATGGTTCCACGGCATTATTTGGATTCCCGCTGTAGGTTTCAGAGTTTTGCCTCTTTCTTTTGTAATGAGAATCGAACAACATCTCCAGAGGCGCTGATTTCACCAGGGAATCGGAGTCGTCGGTTAACACGCTCTCTGTGCTTCTATGGTCCATGTTCTCGTGCAGGGGGAACATCTGGTAATCGGACTCGTCCGTTAGGATGCTCTCCTGACTGCGTCCGGCTTGCATCTTTCGACGGGATAAAAAGAAACTCGCGCTCGAATGTCTGTCGTTGTCGTAATGACTGTAGTCCAAGATTTCAGCGCTTCCTTTTGAGAACGATTCCACGGAGGCATCGGATAGTATGCTCTCTTGAGAGCCAGTCAATATTCGTTTTGGGAAGGTTTGGTACGTAGACGAATAGTTTCTGTGGTTGTCCGAGCGACGGTCTATATGCACGTTTATCTGGTAATCGCTGACGCATCTTCGAGGAGGATTCTTGAAATCGCCTTCCAAGGAATCGTCGCTAAAATTTCCGTTCCCCTCGTCACCGTCGTCCATGTTGTCGTTCAGATTCTCGATGTTACGCTCGTTCATCGCTGGTAAACTTTCGAAAGACTTGGCTATATTCTCCATGTCCTCCTCGTTGTCGTCCAGGCCGATGAAATAGCTGCACGAACGCCTCTTCTGGGCGAACCTGGCGAATCGGCTTACGTTCTTCTTGCACTGTTCCTTCAGGAGCTTGAGCTCCTCGCACACGGGTGACTCGGGCAACGATTGATTCGGTTTGTTCAGCGACAGCTTATACTTTTCAGTTTTTTTCAAAGTCAACGTTAACGGACGATTTAGAGACGGTTTTGTCTTGTCACTTATACACGGGGTAGTCGGACTTTTGGATAAGCAGTTCTCGGTTGGAACATCTAGCTTGGATAGCGCATTCCCCACACCCGACACTTTGTTAACGAGTTGCTGAGGTTTTAGTGAAGGCTTTGGATTCGGTATAGGTTTGCAAGGATTGATCGGTTTCGAGTATTGTGTTTGTTGGCCGGATTTGTTACCTGTGCTCAGCCGGTTCGGACGATGATGTTTCTCGGGTATGTGGCTGCTCAAATCCGATATACTTTGGCTGGATTTTAACGAAGACTTATAGCCAACCTATTTATGGAATAAGAAACTGAATTATCTTGCCGCTACAGGACATCTCAAAAGAAATGTGCACCGTCATTGTGAGCACATATTTTGAGACGTTCTCTGTAAAATTGAACATTAACGCGCAAGCAACGTTTCTTACGCTTTGCAATTTTCTCCTAGTTTCTTCTATTCTCCTTTGCAACTCTTCGCGCTTTTTCACGACGTCTGCGTCGCCTCTCGCTTGTTTCGTCGCGTTTACCACAGCCGCGTTGCGAACCTTATTATTAGTTGCATTGTCACCACCGCCGCTAAGCCTATAAATGTCCATTCAATTCACTCGCTGCAAGAAGTGTGTTTATTTAAAAGCAAACAACGAACAGCTACCTTCCATGAAATTGGGAACTAATACTAGTCGTTTTCGCGATCCTATTCGTTGGTTCCTCGGCCCCGCTGAGAGATTCGAAAGCATTCTTGAGATACTTCTCGCGATGGCTCTGTTTAGCCAGCTGATCGAACCCTTCCGAACTAGCTTCCGACAGCATGGACAGAGGATTTCGTTCCGCGCTTGGAGTCGATGCTCCACCTTCGGAATCAGAATCCTCCTGGCTACCAGAAGCGGTCAGTTCGCTCGTTCGACCACTTTCTCCATTCCTGGGTTTCTTCTGTCGCCTCTGAGATCTACGTGACAATCATGCGTGATGTATAATTCCCTACGACTTCGTCCCTGAGGAGATTAATTAATCGACAGACCAACCTTCGAAGCTCTTCTACGTCCATAGCATTTACAGTGAATTGATTCGATACCGTGTCCTCCGGCGCAGGATAATACATCAGTCTATGATGGGATTTTTCAGAACCAGTGGTTCCATTCTCTCCTTCCGAGTAATCTTCCACGTCCCCATCGTGTTCCGTGCTCTCATGATCCTATAAAATACGTACATTGAAAAAAAAAATACAGAAAAGAATGCCCTTAGTTTCGTCTAACACCAGTACTGTTATTTGTTCAAGCGTGAGTTTAAACTTTATGCAACTTAGGGTTAGATATGTGGAGGCAATCATAAACAGCAAGCATAAATAACTGAAAAGCTCATTAAAACAGATGCAATAATTAATAGGTGTCTCATTTGACTGTGTTACTCTATGGTAGGCCTGCTCAGCAAATAGCCTCAGCAGGCATTTAATTTTGTACTGTAGTCCATGGACAGCTTATTTTACTTTGAATAGCAGTCTCCTGAACTTAGATTATGTTTGTAGAGTATACTAGCGCTGGTCGAAAAAATATATTACTATGCTCGTGTAAACGATTGGGAAAGTGGTTAGCAGCTGGTTATTAGTATAAGTGGGTTTAATCAATTACTTTCATACTTAAGGCAGACATACTAGAAATTTTACCATAGCAAGCTCAAAGGACCCTGTTCCAATATCTCTACTAGATACTACATTAAAGAATAGAAAAGGATAGTACCGTGAAGAATTACTCTACCATAAGCCTTTCTCCATCAGTCCAACGTACTAGCGCTAGTATACTCTACCAATGTAACCTAAGCTTTAAAGAAACTGGCTATTTTACTGTCTGGAGCTTCTGCCCACCGCTGTTGCCCTTCGAATTGTCCAGGGGCAGCAGGGGTTGCCCTTCCCCCTTAAACTACTTGCTGTGCAGGCCTGTCGTATCACGATGCTTTGCAGGCGGTTGAGGCGTTCAGTGTGATGTACCTCAAATTTAAAGCTGCCGAGACTGCTATCGTCGGTATGATGACGACTCCTTGACTGACGCGTCAATTCCGTGATATTGCTACCTCTAGTTACGGTCACGTTACCACCGATTACCTGTGTCGTCGGTTAAAATAAAACACAGAATGAAAACAAAACGAATCGGGAACGAATCATTCCGTGCGAGAGAAATAAAGGATTAAAAAGGAACGATATGAGAAGCAGATCAAACGAAATAAAGGACAAACATGAAAGTGTGCGATCCAACCTCTGCTCTGCTGTTGCCTCTGGTTCGCGATCGAATTACCATACAATTATTAATGTTGTTACTGGGAATCAGTTAGTACCTGTTTTGTGTCATCTGCTAGTTCTCTGTAACTATCTGGACAAGGTTGAAATACAGTCTCATCCTCTTCCTAGAACCAGTTTTATCAAAGCTGTTAGTATATATCTGCATGAACGATTAAACGAGACAGCGGAGTCTGGTGTCAATTATTGATTTCAATTATTAGGTTCAATTAAATATAAAGCAGACTTTTCATATAGCAGTGAAACATTTAAATGGAGGGACTTATTTTTAAACCCATTAAGCTTCAGACAGCTAACATGTTAAATTATCCAAGCCGTCGGATAATTTCCTCTCCTTAAACTCTTCAAAGACTTAATTGCCTGTTCCCTACGCGTACAAGCCAGAAATTTTCATTACACTGGAATCAGGAAACTGCCAATTCAGGGCCAAAATACGTAACTGCTACCAAACATTTTTTCCAGTCTCATTTATATTTAAATTACCTGGCTCCGCCGTTCGAAGATCGAAGAAAATGATACATTAATATATTAATTTATTAAAATTATGATGATCCGAGTTAATGTAGGATTTCGCAGTAGAAGATATCGACGAAACAATCTTACCCTTTTGATAATTATCGTTTCCCTGCGATAATCGCTGCTACACTTGGTTTCGGTACCGCTGTCGATGGAGCTGTCTTTCGAACCGCCACCTCCGCCGCCACCATCCGAATCGATCGCACCGCGCGGAGGAGGAAAGGGTATAACTTCGTCGCTGTCGTAAACGGACTTGACGGTTATACCGTCTCCCTGTTGAACCCTTTGCGCCCATCGTCCCTTCGGTAGGTCAACGCCTAAGGGTCTAACGTTCGAGCCAAGAGGGCCGCTCTCGTCCGCGTTCGTGTTTATCTGCTTCTTCGCCCAAAGCGGTAACTGGCCCACGCTAAACCTGTAATCCACGCCTACGCTCTGCGACGTTGGGTTCGCGTTTGGATCCAGGAACTCTGGCGGCGGCGATCCAAAGGTTTCGTTGTCCAATTGTATCTCGATTCCTGTGCCGTTCACTTGAGGAGGCCTTCTATAAGAATTTTTTTCTGTATCACGTACGCTTATACACACACCTTAGCCTTATTTGTCGCGAGTGCCATTTTGCAATAACTGTCATTGCGCGAACTTGATATTAAATAATTGAAAAAGAAAAAGTTAAAAGAAAATTAAATCACAGTTGGTTGGAATTAAACGAGAAAGTTGATTGTAGCGTAAAGGGTTCAGATACGAGTATTATAAGAGGTTTAATTAACTTGATCTTACTTTCCAGCTCGCATCGCTTGCTGAGCAAGACGCGCCTGCATAGTTACAACCATGTCGCGTGGAACACGCCAGACGAATATACAACCATCTCCGCTGGCGGATACGAGGTTGCGACAGTCGGGACTAAAACGCAGGCCTGTAACCAATTCCGAATGACCGAGCATGGTGGCCATACATTCACCGCTATAATAATCGTACACGCACAGCGTTTTATCTGTACACGAGGTAGCTACGTAGATTCCTGACGCGTCTGAAATATAAAGTATCGAATTGAAAGATTAATAAAACAATCATACCATACTTGTACATTAGAGATACTTACCTAAAACAACTTTAATAAGAGACCCATCCTCACCGACGGATCCTTTAAACGTTTTGCTATGCTTGCCTGTGGCCACGTTGTAAACTCTTATATTTCTATCTTGGCAGGCAGTTAGAACGTGCTTTTGCCCGGAATCGACCTCCATGTCGTACAAGGTGGTCTTTCCCTGAGCATTGTGACCCCTAGCGAATTGAGGCATTCCTCCTGGAGTCTGAAATAAATAAACCCTGATCGTGTATGAACAGAAATGATAAACCGTGTCTGGTCTCCGCCTTAAGTTGAACGTACCGATTGCAGTTGCCTAAAAATAATACTCTTGTCGGCACCGCAGGACACCATTTGAATCTGATTACCCTGATTGCTCTGATTGAAGAATCTGACGGCAGTAATTGAAGAACTATGGTCGTCGAGGGTCTGCAAGAAGTTGTACCCCTGATCGACGCTGAACACGTGGATCAGTCGATCCCTCGAGGCGCTGGCGAGCAACCTAGGAGCCTCGGCCGAAAATTTCGAGAACTTTGAGTACTCTAAACAGAGTACCTCCGCGTCGTGCGCCTCGATCAGGCACAATTCTTCCAGGGAGGAGAGATCGTGAATCCGTATGTTCCCCGATCGATCCCCGGAAGCTAGATGTTTGCCATCGGGGCTGACTCTGATCGACCTGACACCGTTACGACCGTCGTACGAGGCGTCGCTCTTCTCCGTCGAGCCAGCCGCGGCCAGGTCTAGGTCTTTCAGGTAAGTCAACTCCTGATCTATGTACAACACTTTCAACAGTTCGTTGCTGTAGATGTTCCGCTTGTAAAGCGTGTCGTTCGAAGGCATGTCCTTCTCCAAGTTCCAAACGCGGATGGTGTCGTCGCTGGAGCATGTGATGAAGCTTCCGGATGGCATCGCGCTGACGGACTCGGATCCAGTTGGGTACATCTCGACGCCCCAGATGCAAGCCGAATGGTAAAGGAACGAATGCGACTTGCCCACCCGTCTGATATCTCGAACGTCCCACACGTAGATACTGTGATCGTTGTAGACGCAGGTGAGCTTGTTGTTCTGCTCGTCGAACGCCAGGGCTATCGCGTCCGGATACCTCGCGTTCGCTGGATGCTGAGACATGTGACTGCAATCGACAGGATTGATTTAGGTCTGGATTGACCCAATTAGACGTCGGAAGATCGAACGGTTAAGACTGGTGGAAAAGGAAAGGGAGAGCGTACCTAATGGACAATCCCTGAGCAACATCCACGCCTAGGTAATGCGTTCTCGGTAAGGTGGTGATGAACTGAAGCGTGCTGGGACTAAAGCACCTGACGATACCCTCCGCGCAGCCGATGAAGATGTACTTGTCCCCGACGGCCATGCAATTGGCACTGGTTGTCTGGAAACAGGCGGATACTTTGAAAACATCGCATTACGCGGTTGTATAATCAAATGACCGATTTCCAGACATTATGTCACACGATTCGATGACATAAAAGTGTTGCAAAATACCACTTGTGCTTGAAAGTTCCGTAAGTAAGTCGCTTATTCGATCTGCAACGAGCTAATACTTCCATCGTGAGAAGAGCGTTCAAATGAATTTCCTTATGATAATATCGCGATGGTTCACGCAGGCTTATGGGGGTCGCGTAATATCCTTAAACATAGTATTCGAGAAAGCCTGACGCAGGCAACAGTACTTACCCGAAGCTCCACCCATTTATCCAGCAACCTCCTGTTATTAAATTCGCATAGAAGGCCCGTTTTGGTGATCGCGTACGTGGAATCTGCCATTTCCCCACGGCCGCAGGCTACGTCCACGAAATCGTTGTTTCTCTGCTCTCCTAATATGGCGGAACGACCCATCAAAGGCACAGGTTCCTTGTACTGTGCAACAAAATTCCTACTATCACCGTCTTTGCCGTAACGTTACCAGCCCCTCTGCCTATCGTTAATCGGGCAAGAGGATCGACCGGTACACCGAACGGTCAAATTAACATTCAATTACCTTGGCACTGCGGGAATACTCGAGATACCAAAACTTCACGTGTCTGTTGCCGACGGTGACAAAGTAATTGCCGTTTTCCGCGAAGCAGACGGCCTTCACTTTACTCGACACTTTGTTCGACGCCACCTTAACGTTGTTCCTCCAGTCCCACACGTTTACGATCATATCGTGCTGCGAGCCGACAGACACCACGTACTTGTTGCTCGGTGAAAATGCCTTGAAAGAAAAATCGTGTTACGTCCGTTAGATCTGCTCGTTTACTCGGAGCGCAGAAACTCGTTTCGAAAATTAAGGAGAGAATGATGTTGACGAAAAGAAGCGGCTGAATTTAAGAAATTTCAGGTGCTAGTTCCTGTACGAGTCGAAGAAGGATCATCGTACCTGAAGTATCGAGGGAATGCAGAGGAACAATAAAAAGAAGTACCGTTCTCCGTTCGCTGAGAACGGAGGAGGATTTCGTATTCACGTAGTTTGCCTACCGTCGAGACACCTCGTGCAAGCAAACTGCACGTGGCGCGAATGCATTTCGTTCCCTTCTGTGATTCTTCACTTTCATTAAGAAAATTGTTTGAAAGCGAAAAATAAATGCATTGTTCTCAACCCGGTTTTGTCATTTCTTTTACTTCTAAAAACCTCAAATTCTGTGAAACTAACAATGGTTAAAGCGATTCTGTTCTTAACGGTGGATGACTGCAGTCACCTTTAGCGATGCAAGGATCAAAGAATTATTCCTGTTTAGAATCAGTTGTTCTAGGAGAGGAAATTTCACGGTCGCGGAAGCACCTTGACGAGGCGTCTTCGCAGAAGCGTCGTACAGATAAAAGCAGCGGGTCTTAATTAACATGCGACACGGTGTAAGGTCGTGCGAGCGTATTGGGTGCGGCTCCCATTTTTTTTCATTGTATGCATTCAACGTGGCCTCTCTCGTTGCCTGTTCAGCGTTGAAAAGGCTTCTGACGTTTTCCCGGAAAGTAATTTCGCTCCGAGTCGGTTAATAACAACGAACGTTTGTACAGTGTTTCAAAAAAAGAAAAGATGCACCCTATTCCGTTTAAAACTTGTATCACTTACCACACAGTTGATGCCGTATTTGTGGCCGGAAAACTCGGCGATCTGCACTGCATTGTACGGATCGGAGATATCCCAGACACGAACGTTCGGCATGTGGCCGCATTCACCGGTCGCCAAAAACCTGCCATCGCCAGCGAGCGCTAAGGATGTGACCGTTTTGCGACAGGCGTTCAACACGTGGGCCTGGGTGTTCTTCCGGGGGTTGAACAACACCACCGTGCATCTGTAACATAACGCGAGATACCGTTTCAATTACTGTTATTAAACAATGGCTACCAGTTTCCATTTATTCGTAATAGCAATTACAGAAGTTGAGGAGAATTCGCGAAGAGGACATTAATTACAGGTCGCAAAGGCGAACACCGTGACACAAGAAATTGGAGTTTCTTTGAAGGAAACCGAGGAACGATAAGTTAATCTTCGATCTGTCGGTTCCAGGTGAAAGCGAGCAAACTAATTACGGGACACAAGGTGCTTCCAAATCGAACGTAACACGTGCCGAAACGAATGCACCTGGATTAAGTAGAGCGACGAAGATCTCACGATGATAATCGATGTAATTTAATTAATTATTTCCGGTGAACTGAAGTTACGTTCGAAGTTTATCAAATGCCTCCGAACGTGTTAATAATTGGACGCGTTTCCGGCCAGTTAGAGGCGGCATCGAAGATCAATCACGTAATACAGATCGATGAGCAGCCAGTGTGTAAACGTGAAGGAACGGAGGCACGCGGTATCCGCGGTAATACGAAACGCGACTCGTGCGTCCACCACCGGCGATTCATTCGTCTGCCTAACTAAACCGCAACGTGTCAATAAACTCGATCCCAACCGGTGGCGTTTCTTCAGCGTCCTACCATTTGTCACGATATTACGTTAGCAAAACACCGACGTAACGTAATCCGGCCACAATGGAGCACCGGTCTTGATCCTTACCGAGGATCTAACTGTTTTCGAGCCTCGCGATCGTTAAATTAAAAAATGATGAATTTTTACAAATTTTTGGCATACCTTTTCATTTTAAAAAGTAAATGTACGGGTTCTACGTTAATCCAAAGCACGTTTCTCTGTTTCTCGCTAGAAAATCGAAGGAGAAAAATGGAAAAAGTTCGAGCAAACACGGTGAACGATTTCTCTACTGTTTCCACGCGTACCTTTCGGACTCGTTTTGTATCGAGACGCGATTCGAACGCGCCTTCCCACGGGAAAGTAGTCCGTGCAAACTCGAGTAAACCAAAGTTGCGTCTAACAACCGGGCTGTTTCCAATTTCAAACTTTTCCTTTTACTACCACCGCGTGATTTTCAGGTGGAAATATTAAAATATAAGCTTCGCCCCGTAATGGAAACACACGTAGTCGCGGTTTGACCGTGTTTGCACGGTCGAACAAGCCGTGTCAATAAACTCTGTCGGTGCCCGTTGGACGGTTGCTGGTTCTTCGGCATCTGACGCTTCCTGTCGAAAGGAGACGAACGACCAGTCGCTGTTTGATCTTCACTTTTTTGCAACTCTATGAACAGTTATGAACTAGCGACGAGAAAATGACACGTGTTTTTAGCGACGCAATCGGTCTCGGGTCGGCGGAAATATAACATGACTTTGATTGATCTCCAATTGCTGCACTTCCGTCTTAGGGGATCAAAAATTCTTGGTCAATGGCGTGGTACTAACCTGTCCAACTCTATTACCCCAGTTCTAATATGACAAAACTGAACCGTATCTGTATTGAATTTGAAATATAATTTCAATTTCCTTGATTTGCCTCAAATAGTCAAATAGGCAAGGGGTTAAATACGTACTTTTTTAAACTTTTCATTCGTATTTTTGGATATTTCAAGCTGAAAACTACAAGATTTGATATTTTCGAACCACTAATTTTTGGTCCCCCAAAACGATGTTTAAGTTTCCACGTTTTTTATCCGTTCCCTTTAGTCATAAAATGATTCAATGAGACCTTCGATCGGACAGACGCATTTGTTGTGTCTCCAGCGTACTGTAGTTCGATGGGCAACGTGTGTGCTAGTTTCAGTAGGTCGTAGGTAAGGTGAGTGTGCCTCCTTCACACGGCCTCGTCTGCTCTTCTAGCAAGAGAGCCGCCTGCACTCTCAGGAAAAGAGGCTTAAGTCGCGTTCACAATCGACCCTCGAGATCCCCCCATTTTTCTTTACCCTCGCCATGCTTCATCCCCTTTTTCGTCCAATTCGCGGATTTAACTCGACTCTTGGTCGAAGGAAGAAAGCAATTAAGAGATTTAACCCTTTCCACCAAGTCGAATGTTCACCTTTGAACTTACCTATCAAGAATTGGTAATTTGTGGGAATATGCAAAGTGACCAGTGACTGTACGATAGCTCAGGTTCTATCTTTGGCGGGCCGAGGGTACCGTTAACGCGAAACGTTAATGTCACGGCAAAAGCTTGGCAAGAAAGTGGCGAGCAATGCACCAGGAAGCCGTGTCTGGGTAATTTCTAGCCACGAGTTGCGTGCAGAGGAGGCACGTAAGGTCGCCGGGTATAAAGGTCACTGGGTCGATTATCGAGCATGGAAACCGGTCGACGGTGTGTCTAATAAGTTACAGGATGGAACTCCGAGCGATTTAGAACGCTCGATGACCGAGGACGCATCGATCAGCTGATCGATAAAAACGGACCGGCTGATTAATGATCCGCGACTCGGACGCGGATGCTAACCTAACCTGATTCTTCTACGTTCGCGAAAATAAATGATAGAGCGGTTTGATATAATTGAATTTCAATGCTTCCTCTGGAATTTTTAATATTACCGTTGCTGCTGGAACGAACAAGCAACGCGTTTATCGTTATTTCATTCGTTATTTAATTGTATAATTGAACAACGGAATATAAATTATACTGATTTTTTTTTCAAATATAAGAAAAGAATGGAAAAGAAAACAAATACGCGTCGATAGAAAGAAAGCGGAAACTCTCGTTTTCTTGCTCACGACTTCACTCGACGAGTTGTTTTTCACTGAAAACTGTTCGAAAGTCGTTGTTACGATGTAAGGACGAGAGAATTTAGAAATTAGTTACTCGGAGAATTTGCCATCGCGAGCTTGCGGATGCGTCAAGAGGAAAATGCTGACCCGAATATCTATTCGTGGCCTTGAAGAAAAGTTCAATCTCGACTTTGGAGCACGCGAGGAGGATGGGAAAACGGTCGAGAGAGCATCGCGTAATTAGCGTGAAATGAAACGCCCGAAGGCTTTTCGTGATCGAATCACTTCCGATATACGCCGTTCAAATTTGCCATGCACTCCATAATTTCTCAATTTCATAAAATAATTCGAATACTGTTTGGATAATTAAAAAAAAAAAAAAATTGTTAAGAGTAGGACACGACGTCGTGCAAAAAAATTGCAGAGCTTCGCTTTATAATCACTTTTTAATTGATCAATCGATGAAGTTAGGTAACATTGGAAATACTTGCTTATCGAACACGGCTTACACTCGAAAGCTTCGAACAGCATTACCTTTAATCAGATTGCAGTGAGATTGTAAACGGTGTCATTCAACGGCTTTAAACTGCCTCAAAGTGATTCTTTCCATTCTCGAACTGGATGATACATAAAGCGGGGGCAAGTCGAGGCTTACGGTCCGTTGAACCGTGGGCGCTAAGTTACGAACGAGCGATAATTAGACGGGCTGCAATTAGTCGGCTCGTGGCAAACGTGATTCGCGTTGCAATAACGCCAATAAGAAACAGCGCTAGGCGAAATAAACTGTGTTAAATATCGTTTCTTTTTTGATGCTACTCGCTTAGGCTGTGGTAAGAGCGATGACATAAGAGAGTTTGAGGGAAGAAGTCGAGCGATAACCGGACGGAAAGCAGACACGCAACTTGCAGCTACTTTCGATCCAAGGAAGCTTTGTTCACGCACGCGTAACCACGCGCGTGCACCGGGGTTCAGGTATCGCGTCGTGATCGTTACACCTGCAATTATCGGCCATTACGTGACCGAGGAAACCGTAATCTCGTTCGAACGTGGTCGAAAACTTCCTTCTCCTAGCCTTCTAAATATTTTGTAGGCGTTTGGTAGGAAGGGAAGGCGGTGAGTCTGCCCGGACGCCTTTAGTTCGGGTCGGCGACCGCCAGGTGGCCGGATTGGTCTCCGTTCTCGCTAGTGGTCCTCCGGCGTGAGATCCAAAAGCGGGGTTTTAGGTGTCTGTCGTCAGCCCCACTGACGAGTCTGGCATACGATCCCGAGATGAAATGAATTTTCAGGACGAGTTGGTGAAAGACGATTTGGCGTGGATCGACAGCAGTGACAATATAACGTGGCGCATTTCCCACGGCGAGCAGATGAAAAGAATTGCCGACGCAGGAGAAGCCACGGCGGAGGTTGCCAGGTCGATCGAACGATTTAATTGTCGCCGATACGTATCGGGCAAAAGGCGGATCTCCGACACAGAATCTTTTGGTCCGTTCACCTCTCTCTTGACCCGATTTCCGTCCCGGTATCTCGTGCCATAGTTCGTTGCATTCGAGCTCTCCACCGTCGTCCGGCTCGACGACGATCGTGTCGGCGATTTAAGCGGCTTTAAGTAGCGCGTGCGAAAATATCGAGGGATCTGATCGATTACGCGACAGACTCTTACTATTCTTAACCCACGACTGTGAGCTGCAGCCGGGTGTACATGTAACGCTACTCGCAACGCGAGGCTTTGTCTCAAATCTGCGCGTTCAATTTTCCGTTAAATTCATTTTATTAAACCAGAAACATACATTAAAATAGAGAGTAAAAAAAAAAAGGACGAAACGCGGCTGGTTCGTCGGTGCAGAGTAATAATCTCTCCTCATCGCACTTTCGCCATTCTTCCATTCACGCGGTCGGAGAAGAAACGAGCCTCCTTTTATGCCATCCGCGTTTATCCGTGACCGACAGAATCGCGCGAGCATTTTTATTTCTCTCCGCCATGCACGCTAACGAACCTGAACTTTCTTTCACGGTCGCCTCTCGATCCTCCGAAGCCGCTTACCGCCTCATTTAATCATCCATTTCGTACAATTAGCTATCTCGGAAAGTTGGCTAATCGAACCTTCGATACCATTGAAAATCGAAAACGAAATCGAACCTTTCTCCGTTTTAGAGAAACGCCGGCGTGAGAAAGTTATTCGCTAAAAGCAACGCGGAATCGCAAAGGTACGAAAGGTTCGATGGGAAATTTGAATTTATTCCGTCATTTGTAGCCATTTCGAATATTGGATCCTGTGTAAAAGCTAACGGGTGAACGTTTCGCAAACGGTGAGAATCTCTATCGAAATATCGCGATTCGATATCGTCAATCGAGACGATCCCGCGCTTCCGTGTGCCGCGTTATGCAAAGTCTATCTTTCTGTTTCTTCCTGCGCTCGTTCCCACGAATATCTTTAAGATCACTGCATTCGTAACACGATTCGTCTCGTTAATTCTCTTCCCCTTTGCAACTCGCTCGTTTATTCTATCCCAATTACGATATCAAAGAGATCTTGAAAGGTAGAAAAATTTTCGAAGCGAACACGATTCGTGCCGGTAAATACTTTGAATCTCGTTTGAGAACTATTCATCCATCCAATTTGCCAGTGAATTTCATTTATCTTCAAACAACTGTTCATTCTTTTTCATTTACCGCCCGAAGATTTCTTCTCGTTAGAACTTTCAGATTTCCTACATACGTATTTAAATGAGATTGCGCATCGAAGGCACGCTCGAATCAGAGAGCAGTAAAATCTGCTGGCTTTGAGCGATAGAGGAGAAAAATTTAATTGAAACCTGCGATTTGATAATGAACGCCGAATATTCAGAGCGTAAAACGTGAACGCCGGAAAATGAGATGAAAAGCAAGGATGCTATAATTTATAACGTGAAATTCTGCAAAGTATTAGCAACGTATCTTCCTTTTCCTTGCCTTCAGAATCATTTTTTTCTACCGCTAGACTAGCGTACAATAAATTATCGAGACAGCAGAAGGAAATGTTCAATTTTGTAAATCATAACTGCAATCAAGACAACCCGTTAAATCATCGTAGCTCGTTAATTTCGTGCCGGATAGACGGTTCAACAAAATTTCCATGATATAGCATAAGAGCAACTCGACTCTCCCTTTTGTCCCGGTTTTTGCTTCTCCCTAACCTACCAATTACCTTAATTTTCCAATCAATAACGGTCATTATCGACCGGTGATTTATAACTGCACGAACGATGGCATAATTTCGACGCTGGAACGAGCTGACGACAGCGACCAGTCGACGTTTAATTATAAATAAGATACTAAATATAATATATTAAGATAGAGGTCGCTGGAATCTGATCTTCCCCCAAAAATTCAAAAAAATTTTTTTTAGACGTATAGGAAATCAGGAATGATGGAGAAAAATAGAACCAAGATACGTAATGTAGGAATCGTTTTCCAGACTCGTCAGTGAGGCTGACGACAAACACCTAAAACCTCGCTTTTGGAACTCACGCCGGAGGACCACTAGCGAGAACGGAGATCAATTCCGCCGCCACCTGGCGGTCGCCGACCCGAACTAAGAGCGTCTAGGGAGACTTATAGCCTTCCCTTTCCACTAAACTGCCACAGAGTAGAAGGAATGGATGAAAGAAAATGAAGAGACCGGTCTTGAACTCACCCAGCAGGATAGGCGACCAGCTCGCTAGTTGCATCGCAGTCCAGGGCTGCATTGCTCGACACGGTTACGCCGAGCACACGTTCCAGCTTGATCTGCAACAAATCGAAAGCACACCGATCATTATCGCGATGACAATTCGGATTTTCAGCCATGCGGTTGGCATTTTCAAAGTGGCTCATCTTCGATGGAGTAATACTTATTTGACAACCCTTAAACGTGTCCTATCATTCTGATCTCTTTAGAAGACAACCCTCTGAATATTCTGCAATATCTAAGTCCACCTAATTGTTCAACTAATCTAGGATCAAGGAAAAGGTTCTTAAGCCAGCAAATAACCTTGCGGATGATCGGCACCCATTATCCCTCTAATTCCTGCTGCTAAACACCCTCGTAATTAGACATTTCGTTACAGAAGACGTCCGACTATGTAGGTGTTCCTCTGCCGAACAATACCTCTTCACGGAGATTGTTTGCAGGCGTCGGGTGAAAATCGTGCGAAACGCGACGATAAACCCGTGACAGCGTGACAATCGGCGATCGACCGGTAAAGAGACGAAACGAAAGCATTTATCGCGGGTTTAATCGAACCGTGGATAATTCTATCCCGCTTTGAACGGATGCAACAACGGAGGGATGAGAGATGGAAGAACTAGGAGACGAGAGTTTCTTCTAGGACGCGTGGAAAATTCGCTGGCTACTGGAGCATCGGTTTGAAATGGCTCGCAAAGGCGGAGTTTGTTAATACAGCATGCTTCCGTTTTTTTCTCTCTTCTTTTCTTTTCACGGATCAAGCTCAGAGAAACTCGTCTGATCGATATCAGCAACATTGTGCCGTGTAATAAGAATGCTCCACCGCCATCCTCTTCGCCTCGTCAAGCTTTCCTACTCGAGGATTCCGGTGAAGGTCGAAGCCGGCGGAGTCGAATCTTCGTTGCAGTTCGTGAAACGTTAGGCTAATCCGTCTTCGTAGCGTCACTATCGCGTCATCCTGTAATTCCTCTTCAAGGTTTATTTTCTTCGAGAAAATTGCTACCTTCCCTTGACTGCATTTGCAATAAAAAAAAGAAGATCGATGGTTCGAAACGAGCGATTGCATCACTAGTGCCCGAGGCGGTCGACGTGCAGCTTTCCAGTCGTTTCATTGTAAGATCCCGCCGGAAGTTACGCGACTTGTATATGATCCGTGGAGAATCGAGATCGGTGTAGGCGTTGTTTCTGAGGAGAGGAGAGGAAATTACGCTAGTGTATCCGAGATACGCGACATTGATTCGTTACGCGGTCGACTAGTTCTCCTTTCGCGTGGGCGTTCCATCGTTTCAGAAAAAAATTGGATAACTGTATTTGAAATTTTTGCATTACTTTCAGTTTTGCTGCCGAAAAGGATTAATTCTGTAGCAGGTGTCTAGGTACGAATTAGCAGCGAACGAGAAGATCTAGCATAAAAGTTGGCAAGGTTCTTCTACTTTAGAAGAAAACAATAGAGGATCAGCCGTTCCAGCTGTCTGAACTTTCTCTCGGGCAATTGCTTTCGAATACGGTAGCGTATTCGATCCAGCAAATCGCTTAATTGGCCGCGACCAATCTCGAGGGACGAGTGATACAGGGCAGAACAATAAGAGCGGTGTACAACCAGGCAGGAGCCTTGAACGGAAAGTTGGCAAACAAGGACGGGAAATAATTTGCGATAAAAAGAAATTCGGAAGTAACGAGACTGCGGTAATGGTAATCGCTGAAATTAATCTCAAAACGAACCCTTAGCTAAGGCAACAAAAGGCGATCGAACACGTTCATCTTCTGCCTACGCCCATCGAAACGATCGGCATCTCTATGGACGGGTACGAGAGCGTTCAAGTTCCACCAGTAGATCCATGGAAATGGTACGAAGCTGAATGTGGGCACGAGCACGCGTGCCACGGATTTCTGTCTACGTACATCTATGGTCGTTGTACCGAAGGCTTTCGTAACGATTCCCGTTGCCGTTTCGCCGAACACACGCTAACCGTAAAACGTAGCAGTGTTGTAAGCTGTAAAATCGTCCAAGGATACCTGCACGCGAGATGCGTCCTATAAATTTCGACTTTCCGATCGAACCTTATGGTTTTTCATCCGATACCCAGCAGCTTATTCCGATATCAGCGATTTCATGCGGAGAAAGCGAAATGGTACAGATGGTGGATGGTTAAACGTAAACTTGACGGGTTTAATTAATTATCAGAACGTTTCTATGATTTCTTCCGGTAGAAACTTTCGCTGAGAGAAGGTACCATTCGCGATCGAATCATGGTTCCATAGGGTTGTTGGACGATACTTAAGCAATGAGTCCAAGAAAATTAAAATATAATTTGAATAAATAGTCTATTTTATTTAATTTTACGTATTGATATCAATAATATCGACACTTTATTCCCAATACTTTGGTTATCGATACAATTCAAAAATATGCCCATCACTAGTTGGTAGCAAACCAACTGAACACGAACGGATACGCGTTGGGCGGTACGATTCGCGATATCAACAGCTCTATCGAATCGATTAACAATCAAATAACGCGTGTTGCGGCTGGAACCGGTTACGGGACGGTTTTAGCGATGATACGGCTGACGTCCTTGCAACCAAGAGAACCACCGCGTTGATATGCACATTAACCGAGTTTTTGCGCGTTTCCTCCTTCCTCCAGCGATGGGTAGATGGGTAAAGTCATCTTTGATCCGCGTTCCACGTTGTGATCGCGCATCCACCGTTTCTTATCCGTTTTTTTGTTATCGAATACGCGTCAGTTCGAGGTATAATTCCTTTACGATGAAAGGGAAATTCATTCGCGGAGATTCGCCTCGTTAATTTTTCTCTGTTCCTGGTCCGACTCGCGATCCATCCTCTCCAACCACCGAGTTTCCTCTTCGGTTTAGGCGGACGGCTTTGTTCGAATGTAGGTTGCCTGGAGGTCAACAGGTTCTGCAGGTGCGAATGCGTTTCCCGCGTGAATTCAACGAGCAGTTTAGCTGCAACTGTTTCAGAACCTTTCGACACCGACTGTACGTCGATACGTTAATGTCCTTTCACCGTTACGATTCCGTATACCATCGGAAAACATCAAAGCGATATTTCCCCTGGGGAACGCGAAATGGAGCATATAAAAACGTCCAGCCTGGTTTTACAATAAATTCTTTTCGAGATATTCAATTGCCTGGTTACGAGATATAAATGCCAGCTCGGTGATCCGAGAAAACCTTCTCGTTTGGCAGACCTGCTCGAGGAATCGAGAATCGATCGAAGAAAAATTGTAGGAAAATGCGAGGGTGAATTGCAAGATCGCGTGTCGTACGTCGATTCCTGGCAAGAAGTTCTATACTGTATCTCTGTATTACGCGGTGTGCACTGACCGAGATAATGAGAGACTGGAGGAACGTTTTACCGGTCGATACAATGAAAAGAATGCAGAATGGCACGATCCGTTGCAACGAGGCGGCAACTGCAAATACGCGCGGAGCTAAGCGAGCACGCGCCAAATACGGACTTCTGTTAAAGCGGATACCTTCGCCGAAACAACCGGACTTTTGCCTTCTCCTACCAACGGAATACCATTTCTTCAATTATTACACTAAGGTTAAGATAGTGAAATATATTAAGTAATGTCTGGGTTTTGTTACTCGAAGTGAAGAGACTGCATCGCCAGGCAGGGCAGTAAACGATTTTGGAAAGAAAAGCGGATCCCAATTTTATTTTCGGTGCTTTTCCGAGTCGTCAGAATAAAGTTAAAGTTCAGAAATAAACTGCTTTATTATTTCAATCACCCATTTCCAAGGTGCTCTATGAAACAATTGAAAATAGACGGAAAATTCCGGATTCGAAGACAGACCCAAAGGTACCTCTCTAAATGGCCCCCCGGTTTGCCATTCATAAAGGGAACCACTCGTTCTAGAATTTCTGATGCCGTCATTCGTCGCGTTTATGATTGATTTACCAACGACAAGGTACACTAAACAAATTTTCGTTGTTATTACTACTGTTGACAACTCTCTAGTAGTTTCTTTTCATCGTCGACGTTTTTATGGTTGTCGCTGGTATCCTTATCGTCGTCGTTATCGTTTCTGCCACTGCAACGCTTATTGTAATTCGAAGTAGCTAGCACCGGTGATGTAACAACACGAATAGTAAGTTTCACTGTGCACTCGAGTATTTGCAACGATATAGAAGAAACGTGGCTTGCGAGAGATTTTACTATGTATGGAGAGACTCGTTTCTAAATTGAACCTCTTTTTCTCTCGCAGAATGTTCAGAGCCGAATTGCTTTTTCGACAAAACTGTTAAATAGCGTTAGATTTATTTCCAGAGAAATAAAATCTTTGAAAATCGCTACGAATCTGAATTTTATCTTAAACCCATTTCGAATAAATAATTCAAGAATCGATATTTTTCCTCGGAAAATCAACGCGAATATCTTCAACCCTTGCTTACATAATTCAACATGTTGAACGTTCACGCACGGTTAACTCTGTAGATCTATGAAACTTCACTTTTAGCAGACGTGTCATCGTAGAAGATGACTAGGGAATAGGCTCGATAGCGGAGACGTAATTTGCGAGACTAATCTAATGGCACCGTGACGCCGCGACGGAGATAGAGGCAGCAGCATAGCTGGTGCATCGCGATACAACTTGCGATGATGTAATGTACAACCGATGGAAGACAAGGTCTCTTTCGCATAATACGAAGCCTTACGTAACGTTAGCTAGGCTTTTGTCGCGTCTGAATGAAAACAGCCGAGAAACTACGGTGGCGATCTTCCATTTAGCAGCGGGAGTTTAAGATGAGTGCTATCGAGGGAGCAGTCACCGATGCACCGGTGGATCGCTTTAAAACTTTTACTACCAGAAACAGCGGCCCGTGCTGGTGCAAACTTCGAACACGCAGCTACTATCCACGGTATCGCTTAAATAGTTAATTACCATGCAAATTGCACCCTTTAGTCGAGCCAACTTCGTCTCGCTTCTCAACGACTTGCAGAAAGTTAACCACGCTCGATTCCTCGAAACGAAATCCTCGATAAACTTGAATTTATTCAACAGTTGTTGGGAAATATTTTTGCACTAAG